GGTCGGTTGGCCCTGACACTGGGCATTCCCCTTGGGAGGGGATTCCCCATATTCCCCCTTTGGGAGGTCCCTGGGTGACTCTCTCTCTGCATCGCGGCGGGCCTGTTCCTTTGGGGCTCCTCCCTGCCACCCCCTGACCGGCTCTTCACAAACTCATCGGCCAGCCGCCCTGCATGTCACGGGTTCTCTGGTTTTTTGTCCCTCAACCACAGCCTCAGGTCGGATGGGCACCGCTCATACAGTTGCTCCAGTACCAGCAGTTTAACCAGGTCCTCCTACGTCTGGGCCCCATCTGCCCACTTGCTGGCGTATCCCTCCATGCAGACGGCTAGTTGCAGATATGAGATCTCAGGGGTTTTATCCTGACTCCGGAACCTTTCCCGGTACATCTCAGGAGCCAGCCCAAAACTCACGTAGCAGGGCCTTTTTGAATAGTTCGTAGTCCCCTTTCTCCGCCTCTTCCAGTTGGCGGTACAATGCCACGGCTTTGGGGTCCAGTAAGGGGGTAAGGACCCGGAGTCTGTCCGCGGGATCAACCCGGTGCAGCTCGCAGGCCGTCTCAAAGGCCTCCAGGAAGTCATCCATGTCCTCCCCCTCCTTGCGTGGGGCCAGGATGCACTTATCAAAGCTCCGTGCAGTCCTGGGTCCCCCATCACTCACCGCAGCCGGGGGTTCGCTGCCCTTCAGTCTCGCCAGCTCCAGTTCATGCTGCCTCTGTCTCTCTTCATGTTGCCTCTGTTTCTCTTTTTCCTCCCGTTCATGCTGTCTCTGTTTCTCACGATCCTCCAGCTCTCTCAGTTTTAGCTCTTTCTCCCATTCCAGCCACTTCCGCTCCACGGATGCCGCGCGTCGCCGGGAGGATCCCCTGCTGGCCGGGGGGGTCACGGTGCCCTCGGTATTTGCTGGGCTCCTCCCCACCCTTCCCCTAGGCCTAGGAAGGAGGGGTCTCGGGAAGCCCTCAGCAGCCGGCTGACCACTCCCAGCTGGGACAGACACTGGGGCCTGCGCTGCATTTGCCAGGCTGCTTCCCTCAGAGACAGGGATCAGTTCATTCGAGCGATCTCCCTCCTCCAGCTGGGCAATGAGCTGTTCTTTGGTGAGCCTCCCAATGCGCAGCCCCCTCTGCTTGCACAGCTCCACCAGGTCGCTCTTAAGCCGCTTGGCATAAATTTCCTGCTGCCACTCACCGGCCTGTGTGCTCACAGCTCCCCACAGTTCCCAGGGAGACCCCTAGTGTGCCAGCCCTTCTCGAGGTCACCCCCTCTCTGCCAGGGTCGAGCTGCAGACTCCTCCGCCCCTGGGACCACTCGCTGCGATCCCCCCGGGGGACCCTGTTACTGCAAAAGTCCTTCTCTCTGGTCACACACTCCCAGGGGTCAATCACCCCCTGAACCGTCTCTCTCTGACTCTTCAGCCCACCTGGTCCCCGTCGATCCCCCTTCGCTTTACTGCTCCCCAGTCACTTACTGCAGGAAGCGCCGTCCACGGGGTGCAGTAGATTCCACCGCTACCACCAGTTGTCACGGAGTTTGGGGGAGTCAGGACCCTGCACCCCTCTTCCTGAGATTCACCGTGACTCTCAGCCAGCCAGTAAAGCAGAAGGTTTATTAGAGGACAGGAACACAGTCCCAAGCAGAGCGTGTAGGTACAACCAGAACCCCTCAATCAAGTCCTTCTGGGGGGTTCAGGGAACTTAGACCCCAGCTTGGGGTTCCCTGCGTTGCACCACCTAGCCCAAACTGAAACTCCCAAATCCCTCCAGCCGTTTTCTTCCCCCTCCCCTCTGCTCCTCCTCTCCTTTGTTCAGTCTCCCGGGCAGAAGGTGTCACTTCTCCCACCCCCCCTCCTGGCTCAGGTTACAGCTCAGGTAGCTTCCTTCAAGGGAAGCCCCCCACCCCCAATGTAACCCCCCTGCAACATTCCCAGGTCAAATCCGCCCGCTCCCTGCTCCGTCACAGGTTTTTCGATAAAACATTGAACTTTCCCATGAGACGCAAGGACGCTTCACAGGGGAGACGGGGAAACAGTTTGTCAAAAACTCTGAAAGGAGTTTTTAGGCAGGACATTTTGGGTCATATTTATGTTGGGTCTTTGCACCCAGTTACCTCTGTAATGGGTCATTGGGTCTTTGCGTTGGGTGATCTTTCCATTAGATCTTTGTGCTGGCTGGTCTTTGCTCTGAGTCAGTGTTGCTTTGGGACATCTTCGTATTGGGTCATTGCGTTGGGTGGTCTTTGTGTTGGGTCAACTTATGCTGGCTTGGAGAGTCACCAGATGGTCCAATCGCTGGTGGGGTGGGAAGCAAAGAGGAGGGCCCTTATACAGAGGGAACTGGATTGGAGGACAAGCTGGGCAGAAACAAAGAACAGGGGTTGTGATCTGGCCACACAGAAGGTTAGAGAGAGTGCCAAGAAGAGCCAGAAAAAATGATCAGAGGATTGGAGAAGATGCCTTATGCTGAAGATGCTCCATCTGTTTAGCTTCTCCAAAGAACAATGGAGGGGTGGCTTGATTACAGGATCAAAATCCAAAGTACCAAAGGGCTCTTGAATTAAGTGGAGACAGGTAGAACTAAAACCAAGGCTACAAGTGAAAGCCCAACAAATTCAAACGGGAAATAAGACCCTAATTTCTAACAGTCAAGGGGAACCAACTCCCAAGGGAAGGGGTGGATTCTCCATCCCTTGATGGCTTCCAGTAATGCTCTTTCTGGAAGATGCCGTAGCTCAGTGATCCCCAACCTTTTTCATCTGGCGGGCGCCAGACGACGAGCCACTGCGGACCGTGGCCGGTGGATGACCATCCTCCGAAATGCCCATCAATAGGCGTCGCCGCCGATAACCAGCGTCATCCAGAGGTGTCGCCGCCGAAAATCGGCGGCATTTCAGCGGTGACGCCTCTGGATGACACTGCTTGTTGGTGGCATTTCGGTGGATGCTTGTCCACCGGCCAGCACCACGCTGGGGACCACTGATCCAAAGGTCTCTTCAGGCCTATGGATCTATGAATTCCCCATCATTTTCCTCCAGATCATTGACAAAAATATTGACTAGCATTGGACTCCTTGAGCCCTGTACATTCAACCTTCCACCCTGTTGGCCGATCATCTTCCCGTTGACTTGTCTTTGCCTTGGGTCCTCTTCGTGTTGAGTTGTCTTGGTTCTGGAGTTGGTGTTGGGTGGTCTCTGTGTCGAGTCAGACTTCTTGGCGTTAAGTGGTCTTTGCGGTGAACGGCGGCTTGCCAAATGGGGTCAGCTGGCCTACTTGTGTGGTTTTCTGGTTTAATGTGGTGGACGCTGGTTTGTGTCGACATTATTGGGGCTGGAATTTCAGAAGGAGATAGCTCTGTCTGAGGCTCCAAAAATTAGCGATGAGTGTACTCCGTCCATCTATTCAGCATCCTATACCAGGCCGATTCCCGTATTATCTGAGAAGCGTTGCGTGGTAGAATTCAGTTATGATGCACTCTGTTAATTTATTTTTCTCGTCTTGTGTTAACGAGCCCAATAACAAGCTCGCTCCAGGGAGACCCTAGATCCAGATTTCTGGCTCTCTACTGTACAGAGTATTTAAGGTCGATATGGTCCAAAAATGGTGAGACGCAATGTCCCCAGATGAGGACAATCCATCAGGTTGGCCCCGATTTCACATGGCCGGGGCAGACGGTTGGGTTGTATCCCAATCCTACGCCGCTAAAAGTGGGTTGTCCTGTTGGTTGTGGGGTGAGAGGCTTTGCTTATGAAAAAGCGCACGAATTATTTTTTCCTCTTCTTAATTAACAAAATAACGAGCTGACACCCGAGGAAGCCCTGAATACATTTCTGGCTTTCTGCTGCGGGGAGTTTTTTTAGCTAGAGGAATTGAAAAATTGGGGGGGGGGAACAAAAGACTTTTTTTGCCAATGATATCTGGTTCTGGGGTGCCAGTCCCCGTTCTGCTATTGGCCTGTTGTGTGACCAGGGGCACGTCCCCAGCTCCCTGACTCAGTTTCCCATCCCGCCTGCTGTCTGTTTAGACGGGGAGCTGTGCGGAGCCTGGGCTGTCTCTCACTCCGTGCAGCGCCGGGCACAATTGGGGGCCCCCCACCCGATCGTGAATCTAAACAAAGTGGTTGAACTACGCTATTTTCAGTGCCAATTAGAACTGGGGTGTAACCCCCCCTCCCCGGGGTAAAAGGGTGCTTGGTGGGGGAGCAGGCGATTTGGGGGGCCAGGGAGGGGCCAAGGGGAAGGGGTGTTTTAGTGTAAGATGGGGAGGCAGGAAGCCCAGCAGGGGGCACTGTGGGACAGGGGGCAGAGGGGGCCCAGCAGGGGATGCAGTGGGACAAAATGGGGCACCCAGCAGGGGGCGACATGTAGAGCGGAGCAGAGGGGGCCAGCAGGGGGCTCCATGGGGCATAAGGGGGCTAGCAGGGGGCACTGAGGGGTAGATGGGGGCCAGCAGGGGACACTGTGGGGCAGAGGGAGGCCGACAGAGGATGCAGTGGGACAGAGGGGGGCACCAAGGAGCACCGTGGGGCAGAGAAGGGCCAGCAGGGAGCGCCGTGGGGAAGAAGGGGGCTGGCAGGGGGCACTGTGGGGCAGAAAGGGGCCAGCAGGGGGTGCTGCAGGGCACAAGGGGGTCAGGAGGGGGCACCGTAGGGCAGAAGGTGGCCAGCAGGGAGCGCCATGGGGCAGAGGAGGACAGAAGGGGGCACCGTGGGGAAGAAGGGGGCTGGCAGAGGGTGCGGCAGGGCAGAAGGTGGCCAGCAGGGAGTGCCGCGGGGCAGAGAGGGACAGAAGGGGGCCAGCAGAAGATGCCATGGACCTGAGGGGGCTGCCAGGGGGCGCCGGGGGGCAGAGGGGCCCAGCAGGGGTGCTGGGGGCAGAGGGGGCCCAGCAGGGTGCCGTGGGGCAGAGGGGGCCCAGCAGGGTGCCGGGGGGCAGAGGGGGCCCAGCAGGGGGCGCCGGGGGGCAGAGGGCCCAGCAGGGGGCGCTCACGGCATGCTTGTCGCCCCCCAGAAATATCGCTACCAAGATGAGGACAGCCCGCCCCTGGAGCAGAGCCCGGCGCATCTCCCCAACCAGGTAAAGGCCCCCGAGCTGGTGCACGTCTCGGAGAAGAACCTGTCCCAGATCGAGAACGTCCACGGCTACGTGTCCCACTCCCACGTCTCCCCCATGAAGGTAGGAAGGGGGGCGGGGGGTGCCCGGCCAGCACAAGGGGGCACCGGCCCAGCCCTCCTCACCCCCGCCCCCCACTCCTCCCCCGCCGGCGAGTGTGTCAGGGACGGGGGGGGGCGCTGGCTCTGGGGCAGTGGGTATCTCAGTGGGTCGGGGTGTGTCGCTCTGTGTGTGTGTGTGGGTGGGTGTGTATGTGTGGGTCTGAATGGATCTGGCTGTGTCGCTGTGTGTGTGAGTGGATCTCTGTGTCGCTCTGTGTGTGTGTGTGAGTGGATCTGGGTGTGTCACTCTATGTGTGTGTGTGGATCTGGGTGTGTCGCTCAGTGTGTCGCTGTGTGTGTGTGTGTATCTGGGTGTGTCGCTCTGTGTGTATGTGTCTGTGTGGGTCTGAATGGATCTGGGTATGTCGCTGTGTCAGTGTGTGTGTGTCAGTGGATTTGTGTCATTCTGTGAGTGTGTGTGTGAATGGATCTGGGTGTGTCGCTCTCTGTGCATGTGTGTTTGGGGGGCGGCTGGCTCTCTGGGAGTGGGTGTTAGTGGATCTGGGTGTCTCTAGTGTGTGTGTGTGTGTGTGTGTGTTAGTGGATCGGGGGGTGTAAGAGTGGATCTATGTATGTCACTCTGTGTGTGTGTCAGTTTGTGTGGGTGAGGGTCTGCGTATCACTAGCTGTGTGTGTGTGTGTGTGTCGGGGAGTGTCGCTGGCTCTATGAGAGTGTGCATCAGTGGATCTGGGTGTGTTGTTCTCTGGGTGTGTGTGAGTGAATCTAGGTGTTGCTTAGATTCATAGATTCATAGATTCTAGGACTGGAAGGGATCTTGAGAGGTCATCGAGTCCAATCCCCTGCCCGCATGGCAGGACCAAATACTGTCTAGACCATCCCTGATAGACATTTATCTAACCTACTCTTAAATATCTCCAGAGATGGAGATTCCACAACCTCCCTCGGCAATTTATTCCAGTGTTTAACCACCCTGACAGTTAGGAACTTTTTCCTAATGTCCAACCTAGACCTCCCTTGCTGTAGTTTAAGCCCATTGTTTCTGGTTCTATCCTTAGAGGCTAAGGTGAACAAGTTCTCTCCCTCCTCCTTATGACACCCTTTTAGATACCTGAAAACTGCTATCATGTCCCCTCTCAGTCTTCTCTTTTCCAAACTGAACAAACCCAATTCTTTCAGCCTTCCTTCATAGGTCATGTTCTCTAGACCTTTCATCATTCTTGTTGCTCTTCTCTGGACCCTTTCCAATTTCTCCACATCTTTCTTGAAATGCGGCGCCCAGAACTGGACCCAATACTCCAGCTGAGGCCTAACCAGAGCAGAGTAGAGCGGAAGAATGACTTCTCGTGCCTGCTGTGTGTGTGAATGTCAGTGGATCTGTGTGTGTTTCTGTTTGTGTGTGTCTGAGTGTATCAGTGTGTGTGTGAGAGAGACGGTGTGTCAGGGTGTGCATATCACTAGCAACCTGTGAGTGTGTCAATGTGTGTGTGTGTGTTGGCAGATCTGTGTGTCTGTTTCAGCGTGGGTGGGTCAGTGTGTGTCTGAGTGTGTCAGTGTGTGTGTGGGTGTCAGTGTGTGCATACCACTAGCTCTCTGTGAGTGTGTTAGTGGGTCTGTGTGTGTGTGAGAGTCAGTGTGTGTCCGGATGTGCGTTTGTGAGTCTCTCTCTGTGCATGTGTTCATGGATCAGTGTGTAAGTGTTGGTCTGTGTGTGTATCTGTGTGTGTGTGTGTGTGATGTGCCTGGGGGTGTGTTGGGGTTGTCAGTGTGTCTATCATAGGGGGTGTATGTGTCAATGTGTATCTTACTGTGTCTAAGTATGTGTGTCAACACAGTGAGTTGTGGGTGCGGCTGTGCATTTTTGAGTCCATGTCTGTGTGTTTCTTAATGTGTGTGTGTGTGTCACACTGGGTTCTGTGTGTCAGTTTTAGCATGTGCCTGACTCTGCCTGTGTGTGTGTGACAGTCACTGACTGTGTGTTAGCAGATCCTTGTGTGTGTCTGTTTCAACGTGTGTGTGTGTAGCTGTGTGTGTGTGTGTGAGAGAGAGAGAGAGAGAGGTGTGGCATTATGTGTATCTTAGTGTGTCAGTATGTATCTTAATGTGGGTGTTTGATAGTGTGTGGTCAGTTGTGTATCTTAGTGTGTGTGTGTGTGTGTCAGAGGTATGTCATAAAGAGCTGGGTGTGTTCTGTGTGTGTCCATGTGTAGCTCAGTGTGTGTGTATTAGGGAATGTCTGTGTCACTCTGTGTCCGAGTGTATCACAGTGTCGGTGTCCGTGGGTGTATCTGAGGGTGCCAGTGTGTTTTGTGTGTGTATGTGCGCACACTCACATGTTTGTGGAGGGATACTTCACACACACAGACAGAGCACAATTTACTAGTCACCAGGAGAGAATCAGCAACAAGGACGCCTGGGTTCTCTCCGGTTTCAGAGTAGCAGCCGTGTTAGTCTGTATCCGCAAAAAGAACAGGAGTACTTGTGGCACCTTAGAGACTAACACATTTATTAGAGCATAAGCTTTCGTGGACTATGCATCCGAAGAAGTGGGCTGTAGTCCACGAAAGCTTATACTCTAATAAATGTGTTAATCTCTAAGGTGCCACAAGGACTCCTGTTCTTTTTGTGTTCTCTCCCCGGCTCTGGGAGGGGAGTGGGGGCTGGTGGGTTAGAGCAGGGGGGGGGGAGCCCGGGGTCCTGGGG